ACATTAGTATTTGTGGCAGAAAAAAAAAATCAAACCAGAAAAGCTGAGTGCCACATTTTAGAAGTAACCACACTTTCATATAACTTTTGCCACATACCGTATTTACTCGCTTAATCCTCGCACTCGCATAATTCTCGCACCCCCCACATCGCCCAACAAAAATACGACTTCTTTTTTTCCTCGAGTAATTATCGCACCCACAAAAACTGCCGCAATAATGTCCTCTGCTCGTTCCAGCCACTGATGATAATAGCGCGTCATCTGGCGTCATCTCTTCTTTCAAGTTGAAAGTGATAGATCATGCACTTAACGACAACAGGGCCGCCGGTAGGCCTTTCGAAGTCTACCGGTTTTGTGTTCGCTACTGGTGACGGCAGCTGAAAGCCACCAAACGCGTTGGGCCTGCCGTGTGCCTGAAACAGATTGATCGTAAACTTCATTTCTTCGAAAACTTTATTTCTTCAGAAGGAAACTGCGGACGATTCTATTGAATACAGTGCAGTCCACTTATAACGATACCACATATAACGATATATCGGTTATAACGATGGGTCGACTTAACAGTCTCATTTTATGCATTGGGGCTATGGGGAAAAAAACCATATATAACGATATGTTATCCGCCGCATATCGGATACAACGATGAAAAGTTTGCCGTGGACGGCATGTTTCATTCATAATAATCGTAACATTTAGATTGATAAGTTCCTCTGAAACGAACTATGCCGAGACAAGACGAAAAGTTAGTGTAGGCGAGTACGTATCTGCCGCCACTGCAGCACAGCGCCGGCAGCGCGTCCCGGCCGTTCAGAAAGCCGGGGAGAGCATCGCGAGTTGGTGCGACGCGCTACAGATGGCGCCAGCTGTGTCACGTTTTGCGCCTCGCTGCGCGTCGACCGCGGAGAGGCTGAGAGAATTAAAAAAAAAAAAAATGCGAAAAGCAAAGCGCCGCGCTCCGCGGCTCCCCGCTTTCTACAACGGCAAGCCGGCAAGCTACTCGTAGCTTGCCGAACGAAAGCGGGAAAGAGAGAGAAAATAAAAAAAAAGCGAAAAGCAAAGCGGCGCGGCGGCATCGGGGCGGGGCCTCGTTGGCATTCCGGCTGTGTACCTCTGGCTGTGCTTTCTTCCTCCCACTGCTCCCACCCCGCCCTCGGTCAGTCTCTCTTCCTCAGCGAACCCGTGATGCGTTCTTCGGAGTAAGAAATAAAGTCTTGTTTTTGACATCCTACTATCTACAATATTTATTAATTGGTGAAAATAGCGAAATGAAGCCTGGAGCTACAAAAGGTACGTCCGGCGACAATTTTTTGGCGGCAGTCCAGATATAACGATCACCGGTTATAACGATCATATTTTTAGGTTTTCTCGATATCGTTATAAGTGGACTGCACTGTACCCATCAGATCAATACTCACGTCCTACGCTTACCTTTTGAGTGCTTCTGTTGCGCGTCGAATGCTTCCGCTACGGCCGCAACACCCACAAGCTTTGCGTATGGTATTCTAATTCTCGACTATTTGCTTGCACATTTAGTGTCTCAAATAAATCTTGCCTTGTGTTGAACCAGTGCTTTTAATGTTGAGGTACGTTTTAATCAGTACTTCTCAAAGCTTGCTGCTAGTTGCTGGTGTGAGAATCACGATTCGCGACCACTTCGTTTTCTTTTTTGCACTGTACGTTTTCGTGGAAAGTTTTCCCAGCGTAATTCTCGCACCCCCCCCCCCCCCCCCCCCACTTTGCAACGGTTTTCCGCCAAAAAAAGTGCGAGGAATATGAGAGTAAATACGGTAAGTAGTACCGTACAGTCCGGAATATACGTGAAGATTTTTTTCAAAATGTCAATAAATGTCACCCCTCGACCTATATGTCGGCCCTTCGCATAAACCAAGCGATTCTCTCGCAAGAGCGTCGCATGCTTCTTGGGCATCAGCATCGACATCGCCTCTTTGGGCTGACATCGACACGTTCTCTACCAACGCCATTTTTCTTTTCTTGTTTATTTAGTGTTCCTAGCGAGTAGTGACCTGGCTGTGTGCCAGCTATGAATACCGGGACGCAGCACCAGTTCACCGCTGTGTTTAAGAGGAAAGTTATTAAGTTCATGGAAGGGAATCGCAACATTCCCTTCCAGGAGTGTCCGAGAAAAGCATCAGGTAGTGGCGCAACCAAAAATCCAAACTGCAGGTATGCAACACGCAGAAAACGTTGTTTTGCGGTCGCCGAGCTGTGCATCCGCAACTCAAGGACGAAGTGGTGGATTTCGTTCGCGAGTGCCATGCAAGGTCCCTGCCAGTGACTGCAGAGCTCATTCGTAGAAAAGCCACTGAACACCCCTATGAAGCCGCTTTGTCGAGGGAAGATTTTTAGGGGTCGATTTATTGGGTCCGCCGCTTCATGCGACACAAAGGATTTACCCTTCGACGGCGCACGTCAATCTGCCAGAAGCTGCCCGAGATGCAACAGGACCAGTTGATAGAGTTTCAACTCTACGTGTTAGATGCATTTCACAGCATTTGACGGCATAAGTGAAGGAAAAACTACACAATGAGAAGACCGATCTTGTTGTCATTCTAGGAGGGATCAAGTCAACACTGCAACTGTTGGATGTCGTCCTTAACAAGCCTTTTAAAGATTGTGTGTGTGTTGTACACTGAATCGATGGCTGGCGACAACCCGCAGGCCCCAACAGGCCGGCTGCGCAGGCCACCTCTCGCGATAGTTCGTTGTTGGGTCTCAGAGACAAGGAGGTCTCTGCCTGAAGAAATGATGGTGCAAGCATTTAAGAAGTGCTGCATCAGCAACGCTCTCGACCGCGCCGAGGACGACATGTTATGGGAGGCGGCAAGTGTAAAGCAGTCATCTTGGGAGGAGAGCTCCGAGAGCTTGGGAGGCTGGATAGAGTAAATCAGTTAACAATTCCGCTTTTTTTTTTTGGTGGTCAAGGTAAAGGTGTCGACCTATATTCCGCCTCGACCTATACATGCTCCGCATCATACGGTAGGTAATGGGTAGGAAAAAGAAGCAATTCTGCTCACTTTTCACATTCCACCACACTAGCGTACATGTCTAAATGAGAGGAAAAACGTCCAAATGCTTAAATAATATGCCAGTTCTTATTGCATGAATGGAATCAGAGCCGATAATGCTGAACACCAGTAGCACACTGGAATGATAATATGCAGATACTTTTCACTTTCTTCAAGACTGTTGAGTCCATCAAACAGTAAAAGCTCGTCATTGTCACTCTCTCAAGTGTAATTTTTGAGCAGTTCCATCACTGCTCTGATAAATTTCTCATGCAAAATGTAATAGTAAGCAGCCAGGTGGCCATTTCCAGGGGGCTTTAAGAAATGTGCTTTTTCTCTCTTCCTAATAATCACATTGTGTTCTTTAAAAGCGATTTTAACCTACTTTGAGTTTTAATAAAACCATGATTCCTTTTGTCTTGAAAGTAGAGAAACTAAACTTGTGGAAGCAAGTAAGAACAAAAATTTGTAAGTCTGAGGAAACAACTGATGACTTTTGAGAGCAGCATCTTCTCTTTAACTGCAGCATCTATGGGCACTCTAGCAGTTGAATTGCACAAGCCCCTCTTCTCGGATAAAAGCTATGTTTCACAAGCTTCGCATCTCAACTAGCTTCACTTGAAACCTACAAAGTGCAAAAGAGAGGTGGTTTATACTGACATGAACGGCACTACTTTATTTTTCAGGGACTTTAGATGCTACTGGCGACAGGGGTCTAATATGTCAGGGCGTACTAGACACCAGAAGCAGTTTTATGAATGGAGAACGAGTAAGTGTACGGCTGGCAGTGACTAGCGTTTACATAACGGTGTCATCCCTGATGCTGAAACGGCTGCTGCTCACCTCGGATCTATTAAGTCCTTGCCATGCAGTGCATGGCCTACAAGTTCTTGGTTGATGGGTGTAGAATTTGACTTGGCTTTGACTCTAGATGCTTCTGCAGCAAAACACTTGTGGTCTCTTTGGACTGTTTCTGAGAACCATACACAAGTTCATCGGTATGCTTACCAAGAATGGCTACACTGGCCGAATAAATTACCTCAAAGATATGCAACACTGAGTGCTACTTCACGCTTAGAGGCCATATATTGCGAGACCGATTCCTAATCTCACCAGCTGGTGCTACAAGTGAAGTATTTTTTTTTTTTCAACCTTTCTTGTTTTGTTTTTTTTTTTTTTGGTTGAGGTGATTGACAGCTGTCTACCAACTACAAAGGGCATCGCAATAATTCATTATCATATGAAAAGCAGACCTTTTGATAGCAATGTCTCATTTTTCATACTACAAAACTACAAACAAGCCATAAAAGTTATAATCAAGAACATTTCTTGTAACTCTAGCGACTGAAATGGCTCACAACATAGCGGGGTTTCATGTTCATTCCCTCAGATAAAACTGTGCAACACTGGGCTGGGGCTGGCCTCAGCACTTCTCAGGTTGTTCGCTGCCCTCTGCGATGGCATTCATGCCATGCCGAGAAACACAACACCAGCAAAAAAACTGCATGTGACTCAGCTTTTATGTAGTATTAGCTACGCCCACCCTTTACTGTCCGACAGCCAGCGCTGTGGAACACGACCCAGTATAAAAAAATTTTTTAGCCCAGCACGTTGTTATCAAGGGTAGCACAAAGAAGTTCTTTTTTCCATAAATGAAACTGGAATGCACAACTTACATTTTATTACTTCTTGTAATGCACTGAAATGTGCATTTGTGCCATGGGTAGTTTGAATAACTGTACATTATCAGGAGCCTGCTCCAGAATGTCCCACTGGTGGTGCAATTTGTGTCTTATGTTGACCTTAATTTCTCAATTACACTAGAAAAGTGCTGATGTGCTTAACAGTGGCATTTCAGACGTTCTCAAGCATTGACCATTCACTCTCACATACAATATTATTTGCCTTCAGTGTCCCTTTAGGCATAATGCATTTCTGGGCTAATGCTGAAGGTATCAAATCCAGGAAACTTACCTTACAAGCTGCGGCATTTTCCTTCGAATGACACCAGTGGGCTGGACCTCGTGTGCATGGATTGCTGCCTAGTTTCAGCTGCCGATGCTTGTGTGGTGCAGCGTCATCGGAGCAGATATCCAACTTCTGAATAGAATACAACGACAAAAACTGTTAGCAACAAGCATTTGCAAGACTTGCAGAACCCCATCGCACACACTTGTCCTTGCCAGTATAAAGAAGTAAGGAATTCAGTGATAAAATGCAAAAGGCAAAGATATGTTTTGAATCATTCTTGTTGATAAATGTTTATTAGCATGAACAGAAAAGTAGCACGTATGCCACATATGCACCAACTAGCAGAGCAATGCAGCCTTTAAAAGATCTTGTAAACACTTCCTCCATAAATTCCTTAAGCAATCCTAAGAATGATTGTCACAAGAGTTAGTGCTAAATCATGGTGTACATAGATGTGCAAGGACCTGGGTGCCTTCACGTAGCTTGTATGCAGAATTTTCGGAGCCCGAAATTCTTAATTTCAGAGCAGTTTGAAGTCCCATTATAAACATTATGAAGTACTTCGGAGCAAATAAATGCACACTGCAGGAGACACCCGGGACATCTTTAAACACTTCAAATTGACTCGTTACTAAATTGGCTTGCTGCAAAGCAATGCCACGTTGCCTCTAAATGCAAAAAGTGAAAGCTAAATTTAAGCACCTTCACTTAAATGAAAGCAAGAAACCTGTCCACACATCCTGCTTTTATTTATTTCAAACTGAGAAGCTGCTGGCCTTTGCATCTTGTGAACTTTTTGCCGGATAATCACCAGCTTAAGCTATGCTATCAACATTTGCACTACAAGTAGCATTGGTTTGCAACATTTCACATAGCAATGGCGAATCCAGCAAAGGCTGCACACACAGCTAATAAAGTGAAACCAACTGCTCTCAAAGTGGCTTCAGCTGCAGGATGAAATATTTAGTAAGGCGATCTTTACGCAGAGGTTTGCTAATCTTCGATCAAAATTTAAGCCAGAAAGAAATGGCTGTGAATGTAGAACTGATTAATGGTGCTGGTCTCAGTCAAGGTGAGATAATTAGTCACAAAGATAAGTTGGTTGATCACCAACTATAGTCGGATAAATCTTACAAAGGCAGGAGAGGCCTTGCCCATATGAGCTTAGGGAGGACTGCTGATTGCCTCCGCGACTAAAGAAATAGCCCCACTCATGAGCAGGATGACGGCCGTCACCAGTCATGCAGATCATGATGTCAGCCCAGTGTGTGCAGCCGTTGATGCAGGAACATGCTCGCCTGCTTTTGAGGTGTACACACTGCAGCTTTCTAAACTTGCACCTGACAATATGTATTTGTAGAGTTCAAACTATCTCGAGTTATTCGAAGACGCAAGCAGCGGTCAAATAAAGGACCATCAAAAGAGACAGATTGAGCCATTTGATGCTTCAGCATATTAATGCTTAGAGCAAGCACACATTATAATTCATGGTGGTGTTCACAATGGTGCACCCACCAAAAAGGATGATATGGAAGGCGTAAAAAGACAGAGGAGCTAAATGACTTGTGGTAAATGCCTTCAAACATTTGTCAAATCAGTAGAGAAGAATAAGGGGTAGCTGACATGCCCCACCTTTTCAAGTGTGTTCAGAACCTTTCAAAAGACAAAAAAAAAATTCTCGAGAGAAAGAGCTTATAAACTGGTCATAATATAATGCATGGTTTCGAGTAAACATAAAAAATCCTGGAGAATATCATCTAAGGGTGTCATAAACGTTCAAGCCCATTTACATGACAAACATTAAAGGGTTTTCAAAGACTTTGAAGGCTATGTGTGTTAATTTTCAAGGATTACATTGTCAAGGATTACATTACATTCAAGGATTACATTGAAACTAAATTAAGATGTGTTCAGGGGAGGACGAAGGCTTGAAATAACTAGAATTCATCGAAAAAGGGTAAAATCACTGGAGCAGCTGTGAAAAACACAGCTTCAATGACATTTTCTTTCTAGAGAACTTTCAATCATAGTTTCTTAAAGCTGCAGAGATGATCACTTGCAGTATTACATAAAGTGCAAACTTTTATTTAAAAAAGTAACAGTTATTACACAATGCCTCGTTGCTTTTTCTGAATTTTCGTACCAATATCCACTATCTCCTGCTGCTTGGTATTGGCAGTCTTCCTTAAGCAGTTTGACTTGATGATGCACATCAAGCTGCTGATTGTCTCTGCCTTTTCTGCATACGACTCAACTTTATCTGTTAATTCCTGAACAACTGCTTTTACTTTCTTTTCCTTTTTTAAAAGCATTTCAACCTCTTCCTCAATGCAATGTTTCCTCTTCCGTTTCTCATCTTACTACTCCAGCCTTTTCCAAGTTTTCAGAAAGGCAGGGTGTTGGTTCGGTGCAGAAGCTATTGATGTTCTCAATTCTTGTGTGGTGGGCAGATTACATATGCCACCTGCTACATTCATGGCATCATCACAAATAATGCACTGTGAAATGTACAACAATGTTTATTTTTAAAAAATAGAAATTCAGGGATTTTTAAAGATTTGTGAAAATTCCAGCACTTAAAAGGCCTTGAAAACAAACTTTTCAAATTCAAGGGTTTTCAGGAATTTCAAGGACCAGCATGAACCCTGTAAAATTATTTTATTTCCTCAAACACATTTTCTACGACAGTTTAGATGACTATGCAAACTTTCTACAGTATTCTAGGCAAGGAACTGCAGTTTACACATGTCAAGGAGCCCCATGGTTGTACAATGCAGAGCCTGCTGTAGAATTTACAATGCTGCTAAATAATATATTTTACAACAGTTCCTTTGTGACCAAGAGATTGAGTGAGAGAGTGGAAGCAAGGATATTAATGTCTCACAAAGGCATCTAAATAGCTTTATAAAAAAAGTGCAGTGAGACGACGTGGGCCTTTTCCTAATGCAGTCTACGGCAGATGAATTACGAGTTAGAGAAGTTCAAGAGAATCGCTACTTTACCATCTGGAACACTGGCTTAATTTAAGCATGTCCTTGCAGCAGAAAAGAATTAAGGCTCTTCAGAGCCCTTCTTTGACCGGACAAGCAAATGTATTCTTGCTTGGTGGATTACAGTGGATTCTTGCAAGGTTTAACTGCTCTAATACAAACAAGGACACAGAGCAAATGTAAAGAACACCATGTGCACAGACTCTCAACTAGAACTTCACTGAGTGAATGATAACATTTGCAAAAAGTTAAACCTTTCAAGAATGAACATTAACCAACTAGGCCAACTTGGTGCTGTTCTACAAGCATAGGGTCAGAATGAGCACCCTACTTTCCCGACTGTTTCACAAGTACAGCCAGTAACAAGTGAACATGCAAGTTCACAAGAGCCTGGAGGCTAGCTCATGTATACATCATCACCAAAAAAAAAAAAAAGAAAAAAAAAAACATCCAAGTTCTTTTTGTGCTTCAGATGCTCGTACCTATAAAACCAGCATGCTCCTGTATTCGGGTGAAACCAATTTGTATTTTAAAGGGGCCCTGCAACACTTTTTGAGCATGGTCAAAAAACACTGTTGATCGGTAGGAGAGGCAACCGAGAACACGCAAACCAAATGTTATAGCGCAGCCCACGGCCTGGAATTCGCAATAAATTATCAGTCAGCTAAGAATTGCTTTCTGTTCCCTCCACAAATTTTGGAACATGCCCAAAAATCACGCCTAGATGACCCATCTATCAGCCACTGGCCGATTTGATGACCCACCTATCAGCCATTGGCTTGGTTGTTACAGAAATCGCCGCAAGAGGCTGTCGCTTGTCCACGCATGCGTGCGATCGCACTGAAAAAGCTGCATATTCAATGAAAAAAAGAAAAAAGTGCTCAAGTCACGAAGTGCGCGCGACATTTATTGTTTGCCCCTCCCATCTCTCCCTGCTTAGCTTCGAGCGCTTTCGTCCAGACGAGAGAAGAGAAAATACGATTGCAGCGCGTACGAAATTTTTGTAACTCCGCTTGTACTGGATGGATTTTAAAAATTTTTGTGGCATTAAATTTGTGAGACAATACGCTTTTCTTTAGTGAATTATTTTCATGGTTACCCAGAAAAGTGTTTCAGCGCCCCTTTATTGATGTGTGTGAACATCAGTGCACTTGCAATCTGATGTCCTACGAGATGTTATTTTATCTTTGTACAAGTATTCAACATTGTACATGCAATTTCACTTTACTGCATGTTCCCTTTAGATAGTTTTCAATATACATCGCCCCTTTAGTTTATGTTGCCAGTGCCCGTATGCCAACTGTTGTTTCAGGTGGGAAGATCTAATCAGGTGTTAATGCATTTTGTCCTCTCTTTCCTAAGCATAACATTGCACACTTGAACATAAATCAATTCGATTCAATTCAATACAGGCACATGATTAGTATAGTATTCAAATTACAGGGATTAACATCGTAAGAACTCACATTTGAAGAAAGTGATATGCCACATTGCCAAATTATTAATTGATTATGAACACCTATAATGAAGTTTAAAAAAACAACAAGCATCCCTTCTAAATTTCCACTCTTTCTGAACTGAGTCACTAACACTGCCAACACTTGATATGCTTGGCTGTGCTTGGTTTCAGTGACAATACGAAGTGACTGCAGATGACATCATCAAGTGCCAAGTCTAGGTGCTAAGACATTAGCTATGTGCAGACTTATGAACAACAAGGGGCGAAGAGTAGAAAGTGGGCCAGCCATGCTGTTCTTAGCTACCCTTGAGGCATTAACTAGCCATGAAATGGGCTAGCCATGGCACATGCTTACCAAAAATATATCTTGAACAGTTGTACAGTTGAACACATTTATAAGAGACACTGATATAACAGACCATTGCCTATACATAAGAGAGACTAGTGTGCGTACATTAAAATTGGCAGTGATAAGAAAATGCATATGTGTACCCTGCTTATAAGAGACACCTCATATAATAGACAAGAACTGCTCTCTGATGCATGTCTCTCATAAAGGAGTTCAACTCTACAAACAGAGGATGCATGGTACTATGACCACAACTGTAAACCTCCAGTCTCACCTAGGACTTAATGTATATTAGTGAAAATGTAATTGTCATTCAAAATACCGTATAAAC